AAACTGGAACTCCATATCCATCAAACAGTAACTCCCTACTCCCCCTCCTCCTGGCCCTCGGCAATTCCCATTCTACTTCCTGTCTCTATGAATTTGACTACTCTGGGTTCCTCATAGACATGGGCTCATATTTGTTCTTTTGTATCTGGATTCTTTCACATAACATAATGTCTTCAAGGTTCCTCCATGTTGTAGCATGGGGCAGAATTGCCTTCCTTTGTAAGGCTGAATGATGTTGCATTGTATGGATAGACCACATTCTGCCTAGCCATTCATCCATCCATGGCCACTTGGGTGGCTTCCACTTTTGGCTATGGTAAGTAATGTTTCTATGAGCATGGGTGTACAAACATCTGTCCGAGTCTCCACTTTCAATGCTTCTGTGAGTACCCAGAGGAGCAATTGTTGAATCATAGGCCAATTCCATGGTTACCTTCTTGAGGAATCGCCATCCTTGTTTCCCATCCACTATGTCTTTTCACTTTGTTTGATGAGATACAGTAGTCTCCCCTTAACTACAGCTCCAGTGTCCTTGGTTTTAGTAACCTGTGGTCAACTGCAGTCCAAAGACATTAAGTGGAAAATTCGGGAAATAAATAGTTCATAAGTTTTAGATGTTGCACTGTTTTGAGTGGCAAGATGGAATCTGCATCATCCTGCTCCATCCCACGTGAAGCATGGATCACTCCTCCCTTCAGTGAACCCATGCTGTCGACGCCACCCTCCTGTCGATCACTTAGGAGCCATCTCCATTATCAGATGGACTGTTGTCACTGTATTGCAGTGCTCAAGTCACCCTCATTTGACTTAATCACAGCCCCAAAGTACAACAGGAGTGATGCTGGCAATTTGGATATGCCAAACAGAAGCTGCCAACTGCTTCTTTTCAGTGAAAAGGTGAGTTTTCAATTTCTTAAGAAAGAAAATCTTATGCTGAGATTGTTAAGAACTACATAAGAAAAAATCTATCTGTGAAACTGTGAAGAGAGAAAAATAAATTTGTGAGTGGTGGCTTTAAGATGTGGTACTATCCCCAGTTTCAGGCATCCCCTGGGGGTTTTGAAGTATATCCCCAGTGGATTAGAGGGGACTACTATAAACCAGTGGCCCTATTAAGGGGAAATCTACTCAAACACTAGGCTTAGAAATATTTCAGTGTCCTTTTAAAGACATCCTTTTTGGTCACTTGCCTAGGGTTCAAAGGGCAAGCACAGGATCATATGTTTTAAAGACTGTCATGGGCTCTTGTCCACCCACATCCTTCTTTGTCCACAATGGTTTCCCTACCTTGTCCGCTTAGGAGACTCCGCCCCTCACCAATCCTTGCTCCCATTTCTGAGGAAGCTAGAATGATTCACGTGAAAGAGCTTTGGCAGAAGGGACAGAACTTCAGTTGTTAGTGAAATGGGGACAACAGTACCCATCTACCCAAGACTGCCATGGAGATTAAGTGAGATGATATGTGATTTGGGCTCACTCTGTGCTTACTGGAGAATGGGGCAGAACAGGGACCAGCTGGCGGAAGGCTCAAAGAGGCAGCTTCCAGCGCAACAGCAGGAAGAACTTTCCAGAAGCATGGGCCGCTCACTGGCAGAGTAGGTCTCCTCTTCAGAAGTGAGGAGGCGTTTCCCATCAGCCTGACAGCTGAGAGCCTCAGGTGCTTAGACACTGGAGAGACCGGATTCCTGGATGTGTGTTGGGTGGGGGTTGGATATGGTGACCTCTGGGGTGCCTCTCAACTCTCAGAAGCTGTGGGGATTTCCATGGAGTTGACGGTCCCTGTAGCCACAGCTGAGGCACTGCTGGTGTGTCTTGGCCAAGCCATGCAGCTGACTCGAACTTGGTGAGGGGAGCCTTGACTTGGGGTCCTCATCATCGTCATGGTCATCGTCCCTTGAAGATGGAAGTGATTGGGCAGTCCCACCGTCTAAGGGACACAGAGCCATTGCCAGCTTGAGATGTGGCTACTCCATCTGCCCACACACAGATGGCACATCCAGGTCAGGGCACCTTGGCCAATGGGCACAACTCACCCTGCCAGCTGGGCCTGGGCCACTCACCATCTTGGAGCCCTCCTGCTGGGGTCAGGATCCCAGCCTCTCCTGTGAGCAGCTCTGGGTGACCCAGTTAGGAACGCAGCAGGTGTCTGACCTGGCTTATCCAGCTGTCATTCCATCTGCACTCCGCAGCCCCTGCCCACTTGCTGTGGGGGCTCTCCTGGGCTGCTGGCTTCTCAGAATTTGCTGCACCCCTGGATGGGTGGACAGGTCCCCATGGTCAAAACAAAAAGTCACATGGTGGGGTGGGTGCTGACCTGGGTTCAAATCCCGGCATCCCTCACTTGACATGTAGCCTTGGGCAAGTGACCTAACTTCTCCAGAACTCAGTGTCTTCATCTTTCAAATGGCACCTGCAAGGCCAGGCTGCAGCAACAATGACAGAAGCTGTGTGAAAGGCCAGGCATGTGACACATAAGGCCTCCCTCTGTGGATGAACGGTCTGTTGCAGGAGGCAGGGGAAGGTTTCTATAGCCCCGTCTTGATTTCTGGCCTACTTATGACACCGGCTCACCCGAGGAGCGGTGACCTCACTCAGTGTTACGGGCAGCACTGCTCGCACTCTACGTATTGAAGTCCTAACCCCAGTACGTCAGGACGTACCTTGAAATAGGGTCTTTACAGAGGTGATTAAGGTCAAATGAGATCATTAGGGCTGACCTCCATCTAACAGGACTGCTGTCATCATAAGCAGAGAAAATGTGGACACACACAGAGACACCGGGGCACACTTGCACAGAGGGAGACCACGAGAGGATGTGGGGAGAAGGTGGCCATCCGCAAGACAAGGAGAGAGGCTTCAGGAGAAATTAGCCCTGCCAGCACCTTGACCTTGGACTTCCAGCCTCCAGAACTATGAGAAAGTAAATGCTTATTGTTGAAGCCACATTGTGTGTGGTTCTTTGTGGCAGCTCTGGTAAACTAATACCCCAGGGAGGCATCTACAAAAGGAGAGCTGCCTGTTTGTCCCAAGAAATGCCCCCCCACCCCAAGATTTCAATCTAGGACCGCTGTGGAGACTTTCACCATCAATCAACCATGAAGTCTCATCCAAAGGCTCCTCCAGGTCTTGCCTGAGGAGTGAGGGGTTCTGGCTGGGAAGGAGGGTCCCTGGAGGCCTTTCCCAGGCTGCAGATGGTGGCACCTTCTCTCCACTTGGCTGGTCTTGAGAGGCTGGAGGCTCCCCAATGTGAGGGTGGGGTATTTCAGGGCCACTGGGCAGACCCTAGGCATGGCCATGAGTGTCCCGGCAAGAACTGTCATGCCAAGAGCTTGGGAGAGTCACTGCCTCCTGCCAGCCCAGGCTGCCGTGGGTGGTGGGTGGCTGCCATCCCATCCTAGGCTACCTGGGCAGCATTTCCTCTAGACTCAGGAATGGCTGTGGGTGGAACTGCAGATGCCAGGACCATGAAACCTTTCACCAGGCCCTTAACCGACTGCCCTATGCCTCCGCTGACCGGTCACAAGGCCCACTTCCTGCCAGGCCTGGGATTTGGAGGCCTGGCCCGCATACAAGAGTTCTTCCTTTTTCAGCTGCCTTGATGGAGTCTTAGAGAGAGGTCGTGCCATGCATGATGGGGATGAAGGGTGAGGCAGCACAGAGGTCGGAGTGGTGGGCTGGGGAGGTCCTGCAGGTGGCAAGTGGCCACAGGTGGCAGACCTCCAGGCTCAGCTTCCTGCCAAGGGAGGCCTGAAGCAGGGGAGGCTGTCCCCACCTTCCCGGCCTCCTGTGCAGGCTCCTCAAGGCACCCGCATCCCTCTCCTATCCTGAGCTTCCCAGTCTTAGATAAAGCAGGCAAACTGTGCCCAGTTTCTGCTGTTTTCTCCCACTGGTCCTATCCCAAGCTGAAAGACTCCTGCTCCTCTGTACGGGTGGCTTCACCCTTGGCCTGGAGGAGATGGCTGGATGTAATCTGCCCAGAGCTTCCAGGAGGCTGGCCAAGAAGGCACAAGGAAAGGACTCCTTCTGGCCTGGTGTGGAGAGCAAAACATCTTGGAGAGGTGTTTGCCAGGCCAGAGCCAGCTGAAGTTTTTGAAGAAAGGGCGCCTTCCCTCCCTGCACCAAGGTCTGATCGGGTTGGGAGATACACTGCACTGGCAGCTGTGTCCTGGCAGAGCTCCGAATCACTGCCATGCAAACACTACCTCCTTCACCATGCCTGCCAACTTTGTTATCTAGAATGCAAACGCAACGCAACCATCCTTAGCTGTGGATTAGCAACAATAACAAAAACATCCCTGGTGAAGCTACCTTCCAAGATGACCGAAAGCCCAGTGTGGATTTTAGCCAAAACAGACACAGAACCCCTGCCCCCACCCTGGCTGCCTGCACCCACATTCTGGGATGCGGGACACTGCCAGGAGGAGGGCAGGGTGGCATGTAAGGTGGGAAAGAGCTGGAATGCACCAGGGACCTGACCTGCTACCTGCACCAGCTCTTCCGACCCCCAACTGCGTTGACCCCCTCCTGAGGGCAGCAAACAGTGTCCCGCTCTCCTGGTCTGGTGGGCAGCAAGGCTGGCTCCCCTCTGAGCCAGGGCCAGGTATAGATGTGGGCAGCTGGTTAGAGTCCAGGCCAGAGGTGGCCTGCTTTTCCCTTCTGCTGGCCCATGCCTTGAACCCATCTGCAAGATGAAGGGAAGACAAGAAAGGGTGTAGACAATGAGCACTCTGATGGCCCATGTGCAGCTCCTTCTTGCCCTGAATTGTGATGGGTCCATCCTGTGTCGCCTCCAGGCACGTGGTAGTGAACATTTATTGAGCACTTGCGATGTGCTGGTCACCCTGCTGTGAGTTCTGCACGTCCGATTCCTTTGCTCCTTCCTATGAGTAGGAACTGTTACTGCTCTCATTTTACAGAGGAGGAAACAGGCACAGAGAGAGAAGCTAAGGCTCTCAAGGCTGTGAACTGACAGTGGTGGGATTTGAACTGAGACCTCTTGACTGCAAAGTCTGCTGCTTGCTGCCTCTCACACCAGCGGTGGGTACAGTCTGGAAGGAGCATCACTGTTCATGTTTCTTCCTTCAACTCCTACTCCGTGCCACGTGCATTGCTCAGCACTGGGGGGTCAGAAGGAACAAAGATGTGCCGGGCGCAGACCCCTCTCCAGCAGCTCCAGCCTTTCCAGACCAGGCCTACCTCACTGTCAAGCTGAGGACTCCAGAGAGGCCTGCGGACTGCGTGGAGAGGGAAGGGGGACGGGCTGGTGAAAGAGGGTGTGAGAAGGACCGACGAGGCAGTCATCACAGGAAAGGCGCCAGGGTGGGGCCCAGAGAGGACACAGCTGCAGAAATGAAGGTGTGAGGTGTCCAGGCTATGGCCATGACTGGGAAGGGGAGGTAATCCCATGAGGCCCCGCGCCGGAGAGAAGCCAATCCCGTGAGGTCCCGCGCAGGAGAGAAGCCAATCCCAATCCCGTGAGGCCCCGCGCCGGAGAGAAGCCAATCCCAATCCCGTGAGGTCCCGCGCAGGAGAGAAGCCAATCCCAATCCCGTGAGGCCCCGCGCTGGAGAGAAGCCAATCCCAATCCCGTGAGGCTCCGTGCCGGAGAGAAGCCAAGCCCGTGAGGCCACGCGCCAGAGAGAAGCCAATCCCGTGAGGCTCCGTGCCGGAGAGAAACTAATCCATGAGGCTCTGCTCCGGAGAGAAGCCAAGCCCATGAGACCCAGCACGGGAGAAAAGCTAAGGCCGCGAGGCCCCGCGCCAGAGAGAAACTAATCCCGCGAGGCCCCGCACCGGAGAGAAACTAATCCCGTGAGGCCCCGCGCCGGAGAGAAGCCAATCCCAATCCCGTGAGGCTCCGTGCCGGAGAGAAGCCAAGCCCGTGAGGCCCAGCAAGGGAGAAAAGCTAAGGCCGCGAGGCCCCGCGCAGGAGAGAAACTAATCCCGTGAGGCCCAGCGCCAGAGAGAAACTAATCCCGTGAGGCCCCGCACCGGAGAGAAACTAATCCCGTGAGGCCCCGCGCCAGAGAGAAACTAATCCCGCGAGGCCCCGCGTGGGAGAGAAGCCAAGCCCGTGAGACCCGGCGCGGGAGAGAATCTAAGCCCGCGAGGTGCATCGCCGGAGAGATGCCAAAAACCCGTGAGACCCAGTGCCGGAGAGAAGCCAATCCCGTGAGGCCCCGCGCCGGAGAGAAGCTAAGCCGGTGAGGCCCCGCACTGGAGGAGCCAAGATCAGCTCTGGGTGGTGCGAGCCAAGGACGGGGAGGGGCTCAGTCAGGAGGGGAGTTGACCCAGGGCTGGCGGGCACAGGAGGGGACGCAGGATAGATAAGGGCTGGTGACTCAGAGCCTATGGTCCAAACCTGGGCAGTGCCACTTGGATGTCACCAGAGAAGATCAGGGTTAGGGCTGGGGTTGGGCAGAACTGGAGCAGAAAGCACCGAGCAAAGCCGGGGCAGGAAAGCCTGCAGTTTCCATGAGTGGTGCTGTAGGGCTGCCCTGGCCGCAGCTGTCTGGGAGGGGCAGGCAGAGGACGTAAAGTTCCAGGCGGACAGTGGAACCCAGGAGGGGGCCTGAGACCCCTGCTAGCGGGTGTAACATAAAGGCCGACTCCAGCGCCCATGTTCAGGGCCTCTCTATGCTGGCCACCATTCCAGGGCCACACACGAGCTCAACAACCTAGGGGAGCGGATGCTGTTGTCTTAAATTTACAGATGAGTGGCCTGAAGCACAGAGAGGTTGAGGGAATGGCCAAGGTCCCACAGCTAGGAAATGGTAAAACTGGGGCCCCAGAACCATTCAGGGCTCAGCCTGGGCCTGGAGGTGACAGCAGCGTTTGTCCGTGAGCAGGACCCGGAAGGAGGTGCAGCTGGAATTCAACCCTCCGCCTCTGGGGGACTGTGGGGCTTGTTCATGTTCTCCCGAGTGTCCCTGTGCACAGTGGTGAGGACACAGTTGCTGACAAGGACACCACCTGGGCCACCTGGCTCAGGGACATCAGGCACCATCCTGAACGGCACCGTGGTGATTGAGGTGCAGGAGGCCTGGGTCTTGTGAGGCTCTGCACCCTGGGATGCTCCAGCTGCACCCGGCTGCCTACTCTCTCCGCACTGCAGCCAGCCTGGCACGGCTCTCAAGAGCTGGCTCTCCCGGTGGGTCAGTCCCCCCAGAGGGTGGAGCTGGGACAGTATCATTTGCCTCCCGTCTCACTCCTGACTTCTGGTATGAATGTGCAGTTTGCTTTTTTTTTTTTTTTTTTTTTTTTTTTTTTTTTTAACTTCCTGGCCCTGCCCGGTCCCCTGCAGTGCATCGTCACTGGGACAGTACAGGGGCTGAGGAGAAAGGGCCCTGGAACGCATCTACTGGGCCTCATCCTTGCAAGAGCTGAGCCAAAACAGGTTACCCTGATTACACCAAGTTTCTGGATCACATCCTGCTCCCTTGAGTTTCCAGGTCATGTGTCTTTTAAAAATAAAGGTGCCACAGCACCATGCTGTGGGCCTTAAGGCACAGCCTCATTTGATCCTTCTAACAGTCCCAGGATGAGGGTGATCCCCGCATCCCCATTTTTCTAGGTGTGTCAAAAGAGGCTCAGATGGATGAGACTTGCCCTAGACCACGTACCTGGTGAGGGACCAAGTAGGATCTGAATTTTCCCTCTGGACCCCAGGCCTCCTGATGGTTCTGTTTTCAGCCAGTTCAATTTTAGGTGAGGGAAGCCCACCCAAGAGCTTGTTTCTAGTCCATGCTAGCCACCATGCCTCACATGTTTTCAGATGGTATGAAGGGGAGCAGAGGACCTGGTAAACTGGAGGGCCCAGGATTAAGGCTGAGAAGGTTTCAGGAGGAAGGAAAGGCAGGCCAGTCTGAACAGGACAGCATCAGTGGGGATGATTGTGAAGTCCTGTGCTCGTGATCGCCATCACACAAGGGCAGGATGGGGAAATGGTTAGGGGCTTTAGTGGACTGCCAGCCTGATGCCAGTCTATGTACCTGATGCTGATAAAGCCAGTGCATCCATTGGCTATATAAACAGGAGCATCATGACCAGCACAGGGGAGATGATACATTCCTGACCACCTCGCTGATTGCTGTGTTTGAATCCAGATGCCCTATGTTTATAATACTGACAAACAAGGCCGCCTGGATGAGGGTAGCAAGAGAGGGGGCAGAGGTTAGGAGGTGGTGGGGGGCAGGGTCTATGGGAATGATGTCATATTAAAATGAAAAAAGAGATGGCATGGTATGGGTGGCAGTAAACAGGTGCATTTTACTCATATACAGCATCTGAAGACTAAAATACGGTAAATAATGAATATATGTTAAATAAAATGGCATATATATGATTTATGGAAGCTCTAAATAAATGTATGTAGCTAGCATTTCAGTAAATATTTGAATTTTTAAAAGGAACAATAAAAGGTACCAGGATGTCTAGTCCAAATGGAAAGAGGTACTAGCAGCATTGTATGAAAAACCCAATAAATATGTTCAGGACCCACACACTGCTGAAAATCTGGAAGACAGATTTTTGAAGAGGTGCAGAAAGCAGCTGTAGGCTAGACACAAGGAAAAACTTCATAATGAGAGTGGTCATGTAAGGGATGAAGTGCCAGAGGAGGAGGGGCTCTCTGTCCCTTAGGGGGTTTCAGCAGAGGCTGGGATTGCTTAGCTGGCATCCAGGGCCTCCCTGCAGTCAGGGAGAGGAGTCGTCTTTGCACTCAGTTGGAGAGTCAGTTGGAGAGACATAGCTGTGCTGTGTTGGTAAGGCATGCTCCAACCAGAAGTGCCGAAAGCTCCAGGGTGATCTAATCTTGGACTGAAGTTGGGTTTGCATAATTGTCGACTGTTTTCCAAGGGCTCAGCCTATGGAGGCCCCAATGGGGACTTGAAAGAGTCCGCTTCCCACCTGCTTTGGGCTGACATTCCTCTTCCTGGTTGTCTGTGTTTGTTCTGGCCACGAGCCCCTGCAGAGCTCAGACACCAGGGTTGAACTCTGGTACCCACATGTGGCTGTGAGCAGTGAGGGATGCCCTGAAGGCTCCCATTGGTGGGGCCAGGGATGGCAGGAGTGAGATGAGATGTCCCAAGGATCTCTGAATCTAGCCCATGAGCGATGCCATGTCTCACTGTAGCCTTTAGGCTGGGACCACTGGGTGGAAGCCCAGGCTGGCAGAAGGGAATTAGAAGAGAAGATGGAAGAGAATATGGCAGCTTAGATTAAAGAAAGACTGGCCCAGGTGTGCCTGAGTCTGGGAGCACTGGATGCCTTCAGACAGAGGTGCCATGGGCCATTCTATGTGTCTGAAAAAGCATTCACAGTTTGGTAGATAGATTGCAGAATACAAGACTTGAAAGCAGTGGACAAATCAAGGGGATGTGAGGGGTGGACATGGTCCTGGCCTTGGGGATGGTCAAAAAATGGTGAGATTAGCAAAGGACATTGAGTGTTGCCAATGACTGAGTGCCAGTGACTTAGAGCTTCCATAAATCAGGACTGAGTGGTCACTTCTGGGTGCCTTGAGGACAGGCCCTTGTGTATGAGAGATAGGGCATTGTACAGCCTGCATGCGTGGCAGCTCCTGAGATTCTCACCAGAAAGCCAGAGGAAGACCTCTGATGTGCCACAGTTTTAAAAAGTCTTGTTATACTTTTTTGGAAAACAATTTCAAATCAAAATAAATTAAATACAGAAGAGTTGCAACGATAGTAGAAAGAAACTCTTCCCAGTCCACCCGATGCCCCACCCCAGCATCCTTTCACATGCATCTCCTAAAGCAAGGACATTCATCATCACGACCATCCAATCTAGACACTCACCCTGGATATGTCACTACCTTTTGGTCCCCAGACCTCACTCTGGTTTCCACACTTCTCCCAATAACCTCATTCATAGCAAGAAGACCTGGACAGGCCACAGGTCATGTTTGATCACATGTCTTAGCCTCTTTCAGTTTGGAAAGGTTTATCTGTCTTTCCTTGGCCATCATGGCTGTTGTGTGTCTGAAGCTTGCAGAAGAGCTACTTTGAGCAGTGCTCCTCATTTGTTGCTTTCTCTTGATGAAATTCAGGCCATGAGTCTTTGTTGGAACCGTCACAGGAGGATGCTGGCTTCTCGCTGCATCCAACCAGGTGCACAGGATTCTGGGTGGCCTCTTACTGACAATGTCCACTAGGGTCATTTGAATAAGGAGGCACCTGTCCTGTCAGCTTCTTCCCTGTAAGAGAATTCCTTTACCTTTGTCACTAGGAAGGATGCTGTAGGAGATGTTCTTAGAAAGCACAGAAGCATCCCACTTCTCATCAAGCATCCATCCACTACTTTCAGTACCCGTGGATGGTTCTCAGTGGAATGAAGTAGCACTGTGAGTATCACTCAGAGAGCCTGCCCCAAGTGATTGTTTCACGAATGAATCTGTACTTCATTGCCCAAGAGGTGAATGAAATGACCACAGCCTCGTGTGCCACCAGGTCCTTTTCTCATGCAAGCCCGGGGTAGGGCCAGGGTGGGAGCAATGCTGCCTCCATGCACCCACCTGACTGCATTCCCAGGCTTGAGCAGGCTCCAGGACTCCCCCAGGACCTACACCAAAGCCAAATCTCCTACCAGGAACAACATGCAGCCCTTCAGGGGTTCATGAAGCGTTTTAAGTTAGGGGGAGATGACACATTTGATTTATATTAAGCAAAACCAAACCAAAACCAAACAAAAGCAAACACCCTGGCTGTTGTGCAAATAGCTTGGAGTGGTTCAGATTTGTAGTCAGGCAGAACAACGAAGACTCAGTGAGGATGTTCGGGAAGCCTGAGTAGAGACGTTCTTTGCTTAGCGTTTGAGGAGTCCCAATGCCAGGGCAGGGCAGAAAGGGGCCCTGGCTTCTCCAAGGCTCCTGGGGCTGCGGTTGGCAGGGGAATCCTATGTGCACCCAACCCATCATGCCAGCCTCTGCTGGCTCCTGCCCTGGATGCTCCATACCTTTGGTTTCCCTTAGCAGCTCTTCTGTGAACTTGACCACTTGGGCCACCTCCACCCATGGGAAGCCTTTGCCCACTGCAAAGATGATGCTCTCGTAGAGGGTGTCCAGTAGGATGCTCCTCCGGGAGTCTGTCTGTTCATTAAATTCCTCCCAGTTCAGAAGCCTCCGCAGGTGCTCCCGACCTTGTGGTCTCTGCAGGGCATGACATGAGAATTGCAGGGTATAATATGGAGGTGGTGGGCTATGATATGGTGGTTGGAGGGTATGACGTGGGGTTTAAGAATATGATGTGAGGGTTGGAGGTTAAGATATGGGGTTGGAGGGTATGATATGGGATTGGAGGGTATGATATGGGATTGGAGGATATGATATGGGGTTAGAGGGTATGATATGGGGGTTGGAGGGTATGATATGGGGTTGGAGGGTATGATATGGGGTTGGAGGGTATGATATGGGGGTTGGAGGGTATGATATGGGGTTGGAGGGTATGATATGGGGGTTGGAGGGTATGATATGGGGGTGGAGGGTATGATGTGGGGGTTGGACGGTATGATATGGGGGTTAGAGGGTATGATATGGGGTTGGAGGGTAGGATAGGGGGGTTGGAGGGTATGATATGGGGGTGGAGGGTAGGATATGGGGGTTGGAGGGTATGATATGGGGGTGGAGGGTATGATTTGGGGGTTGGAGGGTAGGATATGGGGGTTGGAGGGTATGATATGGGGGTTGGAGGGTTGATATGGGGTTAGAGGGTATGATATGGGGTTGGAGGGTATGATATGGGGGTTGGAGGGTATGATATGGGGGTAGAGGGTATGATATGGGGTTGGAGGGTATGATATGGGGTTGGAGGGTATGGTATGGGGTTGGAGGGTATGATATGGGGTTGGAGGGTATGATATGGGGGTGGAGGGTATGGTATGGGGTTGGAGAGTATGATATGGGGGTTGGAGGGTATGGTATGGGGTTGGAGGGTATGATATGGGAGTAGAGGGTATGATATGGGGTTGGAGGGTATGATATGGGGTTGGAGGGTATGATATGGGGGTTGGAGGGTATGGTATGGGGTTGGAGGGTATGATATGGGGTTGGAGGGTATGATATGGGGGTAGAGGGTATGATATGGGGTTGGAGGGTATGATATGGGGGTAGAGGGTATGATATGGGGGTAGAGGGTATGAATGGGGTTGGAGGGTATGATATGGGGTTGGAGGGTATGGTATGGGGTTAGAGGGTATGGTATGGTGTTGAGGAGTCAAGAAGCCATCTCTCCTGTGTAAGACCCTATTGGGGTCCCCACAATGGTGCACCAGAGTCCTGAAGGGTAACCAGCACGTGGCCCCCCTGGAAGAATTGTGTCTTGGTTTCTGGACAGCACTCCCTCCTCCTCCTGGGACTTGCTCTTCTTCCAGGACTTTCCTTCCTCTGAGAGTTCTCATGCTGACCACTGCAGCCCAGGGTTAGTATACGTCAAGCAGGCCTCAGCTTCTGAAATATGATCCCTCCTCCCTCTTCTCTAAAATAAAATTTGACTTCCCTTAGCCTACTCTCAGCTAGCTGGGCTAGAGGCATTGATCTGACAATGAAATTCACACTACAGTGTAAATGACTGACCAAGAAGGGGCTTGGTGAGATAATGCTTTAGCAGAAGGCATGAGTCTTGGTTGGTGAAAATTCTCTCGGCAGGCCAAGAGAAAAAGGTAACTTTTTATTCCCTGCCTATCAGTAAAAACTCACTTTACTTGAGGGTTCAGCTGGCCCTTCCAGAAAGTTCTTATAGGCCACTAGCAGATGTAGAAGAGGCAAATGCCGCTTAAAGGAAGTAACAACAAAATGTTTAGGGTGAGGCAGAGACCTACATACCACACTCAGGAGGGTTGCTTTCCTGGGGCAAAGGGTCCTCTGGCTGGGAGGACCCTGGAGGACTCCGGAAGACTAATGACCTTGGCGACAGAGGGAGGCCCAGAGTCCTGTCCTCAGCCCCAGGGACTCCTCTTCCACTGCCACCACTCTTCTGCCTAATCCAGGCAGCACTCCTTAGGAAGCAACAGATGTCTCCCCCAACATACTCCCTGCTCATAAGACCCTAAGGGTCCCTAGGAAGGCAGGCACAGTCTCCTGCTTCCCATTAGGCAGGATCTGCCTTTTCTGGGCCTGTATGTGGGCTTGAGAAATAGTTCATGAGGTCCAGGGACTGGTAAGCCCGGGCCTGCAGTTCGGGCCCGCACACCTCGTCAGCCTCAGAGGTACTGTGCTGAGCTGGGGTGGCTGCCCCAGGGTCTCCTGAAGAGGTACGGATGGGCCACTTCCAGGGCATACCTCCCCATGTGCCTGGGGTGAGCCAGCTTCCATTTAAAAGCCACAGTTTCTCTTTCTTCACCTGAAATTGGAAGACTTCTTTCACACCGTGGGGTGTTAAGAGTGCCATGGCCCCTGCATCTGGTTGCCAGGAGACCGAGCCAGGACTGACTCAGGGTTTCCGGAATCCTGGGGGTGCCTGTGCCAGCTTTGTTAGGTCATGAATGGCTTTTCCCAGGCTTCTTTCCTCCCAGCCCCTCCTGTGATGCTCTGGGCCTGCTCAGGGACTGGAACTCCTTGCCTCTCCCTCACAACCTGTTCTCCTTCAGGAAGTGAGCATGCTGAGACTTCCCCAAAACATGCACACATACACACACATGCACACACACTGCCCCTCATCCTCGACAGACAGATGTTTCAGAAAGGTGCATAAGTATTCTTAACTTTTTTTTAGAGACAGAGTCTCACTATGTTGCCCAGGCTGGTCCCAAGCTCCTGGCCTCAAGGTATCGTTCTACCTTGGCCCCTCAAAGCTCTGGATTACAGGTGTGAGCCACCACACCTGGCGGGCTGGACCTGATTCTTGACTTGCCCTCACTCCTTCCCAGCTGCCTTGAAGCTCTGTGAACTCCCCTCCTAAACATTTGTTGGGCCCATTCTCTTCTCTCCATCCCATTGCCACGCCAAGTAGAGTCCATTGTCATTTCTTGCCACCCCCACCTGCACAACTACACCATCCATTCTCCACACTATTGCCAGAGGCAACTAAAACAATAAATCTAATTACAGACTGGGATTGACAAGAGTATTCGTTAGGATGCTGCTGTGCGGCATCGTGTTTGAGAGGTGGTTACACTAGTATGTATACATCTCACTTAAGATCTCTGAATTTTATTTTACGTAAATTACACCTTCTCCCTTTTCTCTACGCACACAAATACATCTGTATGTGAAATCGGACTGTCAATTTCTTGCATCCAAACCTTCCATGGCTGCTCAGTCATAAGCCCCAAAGCCTTCATGTGGCTGTCCAGCCTCAAGTGACCTAGGCCCTTCTTTCTTCTCCAGCCCACACTGGCCTCTCACCCACTGGCCTTGGCTTCACCCACACTCCCTCCAGGAATTTGCCTGCTGTCCTCTCTCCCTGGAATGCTCTTTCTTCCCTTGATCTTCCTAGATAACTCTTTCTGGCTTTTCGTGTCTCAGCTCAATCATTCCTGTCTCACGGAAACCTTTCCCGAGTCCCTGTCACATGCTCTTGGAGCACTAAATGCTCCCACAGCAGCACTTGACACGTTGTAATTTTTCATCTCCTATAGATGATTGTTCTAATGCTGCTTTCTCCTAGATTATTAGACAAGGAGGGCATTTTGTTTTATGACTGTGTTACCTACCACTGTACATGCCTGGCACATAGTAGGCACAGTTGTGTGTTACATGGCTGTGTTCATTTCTATCATGGCTCTCATGACATTGCACTTTGTGTATTGATTGAATGATGGCTTCCCCCTCTAGCCTGCTTGTCCTGCAAGGGCATAGACAATGTCTTAGTCACCTCTGGAGCCCTGGTACCCACTGCAGGCCTGAATGGTGGCTTGGACCCAGTACAAGTTTACTGGCAAATAATCAAAAGAGTCACAAAGCGATGTCGATGGCAAAAACTGGTTATGAACAGAGCTCACCTATGTTTGTGACCCATTTTGGCCACATCCAACGTTCTCTTGCTAAAGAAACATGGACATCCTCAAATCTCATCTGAGAGCCACACCAAAGCCACGTGACCTGGCAGGCTCGGGCTTCGTGGCATCTGCGGTGCCTTTTCCCATTTATTGTGTGTGGGATGGTTATTTGGATCTCAGTTTACCCACAGTAAAGGCCTCTTTGATAAAGAAAATAAAACAAAAACCTCACAGACAACAAACAACAGTGAAGAGTATTTTTAGTTAGTAGATAATGGTAGCTCTATTTCAAAGCTCCAAATACATTATCTCTTTTAATCCTTGCAACAATTCTACAAGATAAATATAATTATTAACATTCCCATTTGATATCTGATGAAATTGAGCATAGAGGGATTAAACACCTTGTACAAAAATCGCATGATCTTAACAATTGGCCATACTTTCGATGCTGCTGCAGGATTCAGGGGTTTTCCAGGTAGGGCCTGACATTTAGGCTTCTAGTTAGTGCTAAATCAGTGTTTACTTCAGCGCTTGCTTCAAGCTGCAAGAATCACCTATACGGTCGAGCTTTTGATTACCCTTGATTGCATGCAGATTTGACCATTATATTTTTCTTTTATTCTCTATCATCATCATCATCAATATGGTTTTTGTCGTCTTCATTGCCATCATCCTTGAACCCCTGCTAAGACGTGAGCTTGGATGCCTGAAATATAAGAAGGTATATGGTACAGTCACATGATCTAAAAGTATTCCATCTGAAAGGGAACACATAGATCCTTTTTCTAAAGCCCTTGACTTTTCCAGAAACAGAATGAGGTTCAGAAAAGCAAAGGGGGCATCTGTAGTCAGATATCAAAGCCAGGATTCGAACTGAAGCCCCCATCTGCTGTTAATGCTGCTTCATCTGCACCATGTTACCTGCCTGTGATGGTCAGTTTTATGTGTCAGTTTGGCTAGCCTGTAGTACCTAGGAATTTAATTAAATGTTAATCAAGATGTTGCTGTGAAGGTATTTTACAGATGTGGTAAACATCTATAATGGGTTGACTTTAAGTTAAGGAGATTACTCACAATATTGTGAGTAAGGCTGCAGTCTTGAGGCAGAGATTTTTCTTTTTCAGGAAACCTCAACTTTTGTAAGGCCTTTAATCAGTTGAAGGGCTGACAAAAATTGAGGTTTCCTGAAAAAAAACATTTCTGCCTCAAGACTGTAGCATCAACTCCTGATCTTCCAGCCTGCAAGCTTGCCCCACAGATTTTGGACTTGCCAGGCGATGTGATTATACAAGCCAATTCCTTAAAATAAATCTCCTAATTATCTATTATCTATATATTTATCTACCACCTACCTATGCATCATCTATCTATCTACCTATCGATCATCTATTGTCTGTCTATCTACCTATCCATCATCTATCATCCATTTATATATCTATTGTATATCCAGAATCTATTATCTATTAATCTACAGTCTATTTATCCATCAATTATCTATTATCTATTAATGATCTATCAATAATCTACCATCTATCCATCAATTAACTACTATCAGTCATCTATCATATATCTTTCTATGATCTATCTATCCATCCCACTAGGCTTGCTTCTCTGGAGAACCCTAGTTGATACACTGCTGTAAGGGACTTACGTGGCACAAGTAACTTTTTTTTCGCACATATACAATATATTTAAATTTAAAGGAAATGCATAAAATAAAACATTCCAAAAAACTATTTCTACCTACTAAAAATGACCAAAGATAAGGTGAAAGCCGTCTAATAGGACAGTAGACAGATGAGCTGGGAGATGTCGGCTTATGGTATCAAGAGAACCTGAGTTTCCTCAGTGAAGATACAAAGAATGCTTATGTTCTCCAATATTTATTCTCTTGTCTTACTAATGGACCCTGATATTTCGTGGAGGAGGGGAATGTGCAGCAATAGGCTCAGGCAAAAGCTGTATTCCTCAGTCTCTATTTTGGCTAGCAGTGGTCCTGTGATAAAATTTCTCCCAATATAAGCAGGACCTCTTAGGTAGACTGTTAGGAGAGAGTTTTAGGAAGAATATTCCCAGCTGGGACACACTTTTGCCTTTTTTCCCCCTTCTGTTAATACCTAGGACGTGGACACTATGGCTAAGGCCTCAGCAAACATTTAGGACCATAAGGGAAAAAGACCAATCTAATCAGAAGGACTTGACCTTGACACCATGGGACACTGAGCCAATACCAGAAGTGACTACGTCTGGACTTTTCATTAGATGACAGAAACAAGCCCTTTCATGTTTAAGTCACCACAATTAAGTAGTGGTACTCATAGTGCTAACATCTCCTAACCTGGGATGACTATGATACCAGAAGTGGGGTACCATAAGTAAAAGAAGCTACTATTTGACAGTGACTGAATAAAGAAGGTAGATAGGGAGATATGAATATATCAAGCAGTACAGACTAAAAGCTAGTGGCCTTGTGATGTATTTGAAAATATTTTTAAAAACTGTATCACCTGCTGTACCTTGGATCATGTACTATGCACTAACCAAGGCTGTAGCATCACAGAATATGGTAGGCAGAACACAGATTTTTTTTTCAGAAAGAGAGAAATGAATTCAAACTAGGGTGGGACAGTCCACAAGCAGAAATGGATAGAAATACAGCTTTCCTTTCCTTTTTTCTTCATCTTATTTGTTTTTTGAAGACAAGGTCTTGCTCTGTTGTCCAGGATAGAGTGTAGTAGTGTAATTATTTCTCACTGCAACCTGAACCTCCTGGGCTCAAGCAATCCTCCTGCCTCAGCCTTCCATGTAGCTGGAACCACACAAGCATGACACCAACCCTGGCTAATATTTTTAAATTTTCTGTATTTTTTTATTTTTTTTTTTATAGAGATGAAGTCTCACTTTGTTGCCTATGCTGGTGTGGAGCTCCTGGGCTCAAGTGATCCTCCCACCTCAGCTTCCCAAAGTGTTGGGATTATAGGCATGAGTCACCATGCCTGGCCAAATACTGCTTTTCTAGAAGACGCATCCTCTACCTGTGATCTGTGATCTACATTGACTGAGATTACTGCAATTTTTGTTGTTCATGTATTTATTTAAGATGATTTTTGTGACAAACATAGCATAAAATGTACCATTTAAACCATTTTACATATACAGTGTTAGAGCATTAAATACATTCCAATTGTGAATTTCACATTGTTGACTATTCCAGGGACCTCATGTAAGTGACAACTCACACATCATGCAGCGTTTGTCCTTTTGTGACTGGCTTATTTCACTTAGTATAATGTCTTCAAGGTTCATCTGTGCTGTGGCATGTATCAGAATTGTCTTCTTTTTAAAGGTTGAATGATATTCCATTGTACATATTTGCCTTCTGTTTATCTACCTCTCCATCAGTGGACACTGGGCTGCTTCCACCTTTTAGCTACTGTGCATAAGCTGCTATGAACTTACGTGTACAGATGAGAACACTGC